TTTTCTTTTCTTCTTTCTGGTGTTAGGCCCCATTTACTGGATCCCACACTTCCTTGTTCTTGGTTTACTTCATCATTTAGTGGAACACATCCTTGGTAACTTCCTGAGTAGGGGTAGACGGGAGGTAAGTTTTTCGAGGCAGGACTGAAAAATGCATTTATTTAGCCTGACACTTGATTGACAGTGTGGCTAAGCATAGAATTTTGTGTTTAAAACAATTTTCCATCAGCTCTTTAAAGGCAATATGTAATTCAGTTGTTGCTACTGAAGAGTTCAATACCATTCTGATTCCTATTTCTTGTATGGAAACTAATTCTTTCCTCTCTAAATCATTTCAGAATCTTCTCTTTTTCCCTGGTGTTTTCTAGTGAAAGGGATGAAACTTTTAATATAGAAATCCCTTTCGCTTTGGCAATATTGATTGTATTACTCCTTAGATACTGTCTTCTCTTCCATTTTCTCTAGTATATATTTCTAAAGCCATTATTTAAGATGTTACACTTTCTGGATGAATACTCTAGTTTTCTTATTTGTCTCCACTGTTGTCCCTCTCTTTGTTATTTTACTTTCTAGATTTCTTAACTTTCCCTTTCAATCCTTCTATTACAGTTTTCATTTCCAGAAGCTCCTGTTTTTACTTTTATAGCATTCTATTTATGTCTCATTGTTCAATAAAATGCTCTTTTCTGTAAGGATATCTTGATTCTACTGACGTTTTTCTTCTGCTCCCTTCATTGTCTGTTTCTTCTACGTTCTTATTTCTGTCTCAATTTGGAAGCTTTCCTCAAATGTCCAGGGTTTTTGTATTTAAGACTGAGGCAGTAAATACCTTCTTGGAAGCTCTTACAGAAGGAGGCTTGCTGACTGTAGTCTTCTCTGTAGAACCACTGGAAGGTATACTGGCTTTCTCACTGTGTAATTTCATCATGAAACCCTGAAACAGGTCTATATGCTCTTGGGCTGTTCACCGCTTCTGGAGCCAAATTTACTGTCTTGGACAGTAAATGTCCAAGATGTCCGGGCTTGGACCAGAGCAGGTGAAGGTCAGGGAATGACTTCACCATTTAGTTTGTAGGCTTTCACATAATTCTAGGTTTCAACCTTGAGCCTTACCCCCACCCTTCTTTATCGTTATCTCCAGATGTGGAATCTCTCTAGTTCACTTTGTTTGAAAATAAACCTCAGGTCTCTTGTGTTTAGAAGGGAATTGAGGGGGCAGAGGTCAGGATTTGCCACCTGGTTGCAACTGATATTAATGCAAGGACAGATGGACCACTGAAACAAAATGAAAAAGTACTAACTCATGTATTCATGGGAGCTTAATAAAGGGTGGCACACAGTAAGTTGAGGCCTCATTACCTGTTAATTCACCTCCTTAACAGTGATTGCCTACTTATCTGAATAAAACACATTCTCAATGTAGGCCAGGAATCCTCCCTTTTATCTACTTGCCAAACCACTCCGGCTGTCTGCCTATATTGCCTCTTTTTATGATGTTATTTTTTTTTTTTTTAATTTTTAAAATAATTTTTTTTATTTATTTAATTTTTGGCTGTGTTGGGTCTTCGTTGCCATGTGTGGGTTTTCTCCAGTTGTGGCGAGCGGGGGCTACTCTTCATTACAGTGCGCGGGCTTCTCATTGTGGTGGCACCTCTTGTTGCGGAGCATGGGCTCTAGGTGTGTGGGCTTCAGTAGTTGTGGCACGTGGGCTCAGTAGTTGTGGCTCACGGACTCTAGAGCATAGGCTCAGTAGTTGTGGCGCATGGGCTTGGCTGCTCCGCGGCACGTGGGATCTTCCCGGACCGGGGCTCGAACCCGTGACCCCTGCACTGGCAGGTGGATTCTTAACCACTGCGCCACCAGGGAAGCCCTATAATGTTCTTAAAACTATTAAATCACCTCTCCACCTTGAAGGGCATATGTTGTCTCAAGGTCTTGCCTCCTTCGATAGAATTTGTCTCCTTTTGAAACTGGGCTTTAACTTTTAAAGTTAAATCTAATTTGGAATAAAAGGTAACAGTCATTAATTCATAAACATTTACTGAGTGCCTACTATGCCCCAGGCACTGGGGACACAAAGATGAAAACAATATGGTCCTATCCTCAAGGTGCCAGTCTAGTCTCACAGCCTTTCTTAACTGGGAGTCCTCGTCTGAATCATAGAACACAGAAAATTAGTTCGGTGACTGTTTTCTTAATTCTCTCCAAAATGGTATGTAACTAGTATCATGCTGGATGCATGGAAGAGATGCTAATTCATTACACATAATAGATGCCTCAGAGGACTACAGGTTTAATCTGCCTGCAGAACTCTGGCTGAGAGCTGAGTGACAAACAGCCAGATACAATAGTTTGATAAGTGGTACGCACCAGCTCACTAGTGATAAAATTATAAGAAAATCTTAAAAACAGTAATTACTTAAAAAAAAATCTGTAAACTATTCTCAATATGCGGTTTAGTCAATATAATTATAAAATTATTTTTTAAAACTTAAAAAGTTAGTTTTAGAAAAGACTGTGGTAGTGAACAATGTATGTTGTGATGATTAGCATTTAGCAGCTAACATTTATTGAATGCTTACTATGTACTGGGCACTATTCAGATCACTTAACATATATTATTTCCTTTAATCCTCATAAATCTACCTTATAGCATTACAATTCTTATTTTACAAATGAGAAAACAGGGGCTTAGAGAGATGACTTATAAGGTCAAACGAGTTAAAACACGATAGTAAATGATTCAAATCCAGCCTGTCTGGTACCAGAGCCTGAGGTCTTAGGCTTTATGATATAAAATCCCTCTCCAAGTGACTAAATATTCTCCTTCCCATGGGAATAGGTAAAAATTACCTTGAAGTTATGGTCTGTTATAAACCCTAGTATGAACAGTATAATGGGTATGGAAGAAAGATAAGGCCTACATGGGGTGCGAAAAACAAAACACCAAATAACCCAAACTCTATATTTTGAATAATTAAAGGAAACAGAGAGTCATGTACACCCAAATTTTTTTTTTTTTCTTTTCTCAGTACGCGGGCCTCTCACTGTTGTGGCCTCTCCCATTGCGGAGCACAGGCTCTGGACACGCAGGCTCAGCGGCCATGGCTCACGTGCCCAGCCGCTCCGCGGCATGTGGGATCTTCCCAGACCGGGGCATGAACCCGTGTCCCCTGCATCGGCAGGCGGACTCTCAACCACTGCGCCACCAGGGAAGCCCATGTACACCCAAATTTAAGGGAATATTTGTTTGCTTGTTTTAAGTAACCAAAATTAAGGTTCTGCAAGGAGTGTTGTTTTATAGCTTTAAATGTGCTCCAAAAAATACAATTTCTAGCTAAATTATACATATAAAAAATTTAACTCACTTAACATAAAAGAACTCTAGATCAAGTATTATCCAAGATCCCAGAACTGGCTCACCGTTTTACTTTCCATTAAAAACTTAACAGCAACAAAACAAAAAAACATTAAGGGGTGCTTTCCCATTTTTAAAAACAGTAAAGTATACACAGTACATTTTGGTTTCTTATTATTTAAACTTGTCAAAAAAATAAAGCCATTTTGAGAAAATAGAGACTGTTATCTCTTTTTGGTAATGTTGCAACCTTTAAATTTTTCTGTAGAGGCATTTTCTGACAAATTTGGTTTTACAGAATGAAAGAATGGTAGGTCAAGCTGCTAGGTTATTTTTGTGACATATTTTCCTATATTCTGATGTCTAATAGTCTACTATTACTAATAATTTTTGTTTTAAACTAGTAAGAAAATATTTTGATGACATTTTGATTATGGTAATAAAACAAAATTAGTACTATTACTACACAGGTAATGGTAAAATAAGATTTTAAAAGATTCTTTACGTAATAGAAATCTTAACTTTTTCACTCATGTTTATAATGTCTTCTGATAATCTCTCTCATTCATTTTGTCACTGACATTGTTATTTAACTGGGGCTTTTATTTTTATTTCTCAAAGTCTTATTAATTTGTTGATTTAGCCATACATTTTTTTCAAGTTAGAAAAATGTGCTTAGCTTTCCTTATTTAATGTCTTTTACCCAAACCATTAACATTCTCTTCTAATTGGCAACTTCTAGTGTTCTTTTAGCAAACCCTCACCAGCTAAATTTCTCAAGTAGTTTCATGTCATATAGCTTGTTTTCTTTTAATATACAGCCATAGAAAGCTAAGAGTGCATTCTGTCAAGCCAGCAAATTCCCTTTGCTCTCCCATGGAAGATCTCTTTCCAGCTGTGAAATGTTAAGATTCCAACGTTTACCAACAGATATACAATTCTTTTAATGTAACTTTCATGTATTTATTTGCTTGTAACACACAAAATGTGCCATTCTAACTTAGTTTCAGTTTAAATTAAATGAAGGCACGAGTCTAAGCACTAACTCTGCCTTATGCCCTGTAAACTGTTGCTTGAGGTACAAGTTGAACTTGAAAAGATATAGAATATTTTAAAATTTAAGTCAGAAACCTTGCCCAATTCTTTGATTCAATTAATTCGTATCCAAATGGGACTATCTTCATTTCTGTAATGAACTTTCATTCTTATTCTAAATATTTAAGAATCAATAAGGCACTGGTGTAAATATGAGAATCTAAGTCACCCAAGGAGTCTTAGGTCAAGAATAACCTTGAAATCTGGGAAACAGGGCTAGCTCAAAGCTCAAGAGCAGACAGGGTGTAGGTGGATGGTAGCTGGGTAATTATATATTCCCACACCTATCATCTTACATTAGGGAAGAAAGAGCCTCAAGTCTCATCTATTGCTTAGTCATTAGTTTTGAATGCTTGGTTTTAATACCAAATGAAGAGCCACATTAAAACTAACCCTCATTCTGTCTCAGATGTCGTAACTACAGATTTGAAAAACTGACCCTGTTACATCCCAGACACTGAAATCATGGAACATATTGGTTGTGTTTTCAATTTGGAAGACAAATATGTCATTTTAGAAATCAAGATTAAAAATCAGAATTTCATACCTTGTGCAAGCATGTTAAATTCCAAGAACAGTGCTATGTGGTAAAGTTCCATGGCTTCTTCTGCCCTAGTCATGTTTGGCTTCCCTGCGACGAGAGCCTGAACTTCACTGAGACTCCCCACAGAGGGGCTACAGTGCAAAACGGAGAGGTCCACCACGTCAGTATACATACAGTGTAATATAACTTTCGCATATTTTTTTGGTATAATGGACTCATCTAATATAATTCTTGTGGGAGTCCTTAAAGTTCGGTCTGTGATTTCTTCACCCGTCCGTATCCTCCTTTGTAATAAATTTCGAAAAAATGGGGACCGTGCTGAAATAATAGCCTTATGAGCTTTGAGCTCTTCATCTAAACAGTTCTGATTTCCACCAAAAGCTTCAACCAGTTCAGAGTCTGAAGAAAAACTAAGGACGACATCATAATAACACATGTAATCAAAGAGTCCACGCATATCTACATCAAGGGAATTTGGTGTTCCAAATTCTTCACTAAGCTGAACGAGGATATCAACATTTTGAAACCTTGAGTCCTCCATTCCAAACTCTCCTGTATAAAGGTAGTGTAACAACGCAGAAAACATGGGCATATCTATACCAGCTGTACTGATGTCCATTATGATCTCTGCCCCATACTCGGGTGAGGAAGAAAGTAGTGTTTTAAAAAACGGACATCTTGCCGCCAAAATGGCACGATGAACAGGAAAACAGGTTTCTTGAAATATTAAGTCTACATCAGTACAATACTTGTACTCATAAAGATCGGCCATATCTTTCTGCAATGTCCGGGCTTCTGGTCTAGCCAAACTGGCTTGTAGAGAAAGCTCCTTTAAGGCTGAAGTTCCCTCATATTCCTCCACTAATGCATTGACATCTCGAACATCCCACCCAGAGAGGAGTTCTCGCATCTGCTTGGCGTGATCAGCAGACCTGTTAGATTTTCGACGCTTGATAAACTTCTTCTTGAGGGTGGCAAGGCCAGAGGTTCTCTTTTTTTTGTCTTGTGGTTTCTCATGGCCATGGTCAAGGCTATATAATTTTGATTCACAACCGTAGCCTTGCTGAGAATAGGATGATGTCCCTAAGAAGGAAATTAAACAAATGAAAACTTGTCTCTTTTCTCGTGACAGTCATTTTCAGCATTCAATTTAATACGCATTTTGTGCTAAAAATATTTACAGACAGACATTTCTGAACCATTCAAATAAAACTGATTTCTGTTTTCATAAAGGAAGACTAAAGAGTTCAGATAACTCATTTTTATATTAAAGAAAGAATAGGGACAAACAGAGCACATTATTAATTGTAAAAAATGCTGCATTTGTATGGGCAAAACAAATGGACCAAGACATAAGAAACATATTTTGCTATTTCCACACCAATGGAGATTCCTAGTTTTCCTAGGGTAACTGGCAATTATGGTTAAGACAACCAAAGAAAAGCTCAACTGTGCTATAGCAGCTTGCTTAGGATAAAAATCATGTAAGCCAGATTTACATTTGATGGGAAAAAATCTGGATGCTACAGAATTATTACCTGTAATAACTTTTTCCATAGCTTAATCCTTTTTTTAATACAAAAAGACCACCGAAAACCCGATTCTATTTATACTCACAAAAGAAAATGAAGTTAGAAAAACTGAAACAGTTACCTATAAAAGTCTGTTGGGCTTGAGAATTTCCCCCTACCCTCGGGGAACATGAATGAGGATAGTTAGATGCATTAGCACCCATTTTCTTCAGTCACTCAGGCATTCCATCTGCTGGTTCTTCAGAGTATAATCCCAGAGGCCTTTACGAACTTTCAACCCTGGATCCAGTAGCCTCTTTTCATCCATTTCTTGATATGAAACAAAAATAATTTAATTCATTTTTTCAAATGTATCTCAAATTGTACAGTTAAAAAAAAAGCAAGCTACTGAAAACTGCTTTTATTTGCAAATAATGACATGCTGTAAAATTCACACGTAAAAATTTCAGAAAACGTAAACAGCTGAACTATGAATCAGTACTATCTGTAATCTTGAGCCATAAAAGGTACCAATTATATACTTTCTAAGAAAGTAAAAAGTAACATATCAGACTTATTTAAATATAGTTACAGAAAGAATATTTCAAATCACAGGGAAAAGTATTTAGACTAAAAAGAAACTTTTCAAAACAATTTTTTTCCTTAGAGGCAACCACCAGTCAATATAATCTAACATTCTAAGCCATTTACAAACACTTAAGAGGTGTCTGATACCAGTAGTGCAAATGCATGTATGTTGATGCAGACATACAGAGAACAGATAGTTGAATGGTTTGTTGTTTTTCTACCTTAGATAAAATTGTTTAAATTGATCCTTAATCTGTGTAACTAGGCATTTTACTGAAAGAGGGGGAAGGAAAGGTGGACAGTTCAAACTAAATTATCTTTAGGCTACTTGTCCTACAGCAATTTTGAGAGAAGTTATAAGTACAGTGAGGAGACACAAGGAAAAACAAAAACTTTTATCATTCCTCTCCATAAAGCCCTGAAATAAAAACACTACTTTCTTTTACCTGATATTATGACTTAACAGGGACAGGGCAGTACCAGTTTAAGAGATAATTTTAACAATTATAGATTAAATTCTACATCACGGAACCTTAACTCTCAGAGCTGCAAGCAGAAAATATAAGCACAAAGAGAAGAAATTCTCTGAGTGTTAACAGGAATGCTTCAAAATATTTATACCATCCAGATATATAAAATTTATTTGACCAAAAGCAATAATGGCTTAAGAGAAAACACAACTTAAAATCTATTATTGGAACTGTTAGGAAACCAACCAGTAGGCAGTCAATCTGGCCTCATAATTAAGGATAAAACGTTTTAACAAATAAGAGTTAAACACACACACATACATATCACAAAAAACCTGCTGGAAAACAGAACTATGTCAAGATTCTTGGAATTTATTTTCATCTCTGTTACACAGTGTAACCTTAGGAATTCAAGCTTAAGAAAATCACTCTACATTTGTCCTTTCCTTCAACCTTTTCCTACTATAAATATGTGGAAATTTGTTTATCTAAGCATAGAATTATCTACCTATAGTGTTCAAGAGAAAACTGGGAAACTTTCTACTAATTACATGTTATGCAAAGTAGCAGTAACTTCAATCAAATCGTATGCTCACATGAGCAAATTTAATTTCCTATTTGAAATTTACCTACCTACCCTAGGAGAACACAGCACATTATAGACTTTTTACTTCAGTGCACGTTACTGATGCACGGCAGCAAGAGATGTGACAGTACGTTCTGTTTTTTTTTTTTAGATTTTTAAAAAATATTTATTTTATTTATTATTATTATTTTTGGCTGCGTTGGGTCTTCATTGCTGCACGCAGGCCTTCTCTAGTTGCAGTGAGCAGGGGCTACTCTTCACTGTGCTGCGCAGGCTTCTCATTGTGGTGTCTTCTCTTGTTGCAGAGCACGGGTTCTAGGTGCGTGGGCTTCAGTAGTTGTGGCACGAGGGCTCAGTAGTTGTGGCTCGGGGCTCTAGAGGGCAGGCTCAGTAGTTGTGGCACACAGGTTTAGTTGCTCCACAGCATGTGGGATCTTCCCGGACCAGGGCTTGAACCCGTGTCCCCTGCATTGGCAGGCGGATTCTTAACCACTGTGCCACCAGGGAAGCCCGACAGTACATTCTGTTAAGAACTACCCAGCAAGGAATCCAGACGGTTTAATCAAGAAAATTACTTCTTCCAGAAAAGTCAGTTTTCTTAAAGGTTGATGCTCAGTGTACGTAAATTCACAGTTTTCTATTCTTAAATATTAAAAAGGTAGAAAAAGCAATTTTTTGGTAATTCACTTCGAATGTTGTCAACTTTTATAAAATGGTAACTAAATGTGCCTGTGTTAATTTCAGTTCAAACTTTAAAAAACAGTAAGTCTAAGTAATAAATCTTAGGTTTCAAATTGAGCTCCTTAAAAAGTTTCAAGGTTCTATCAAGGCATTTTTACTGGTTCTTTAAAAGAAAATAGGGTCTCTAGAAAACAATACAAATCAACTTATTTACAAACCAGAAACAGACGCACAGACACAGAAAACAAACTTATGGTTACCAAAGGGGAAAAGGGAAGGGGAGGGATAAGGGATTAACAGATACACAGCACTATATATAAAATAAACAACAAGGATTTACTATATATCACAGGGAACTATATTCAATATCTTGTAATAACCTATAATGGAAAAGAATCTGAAGATGTACACCTGAAACTAACACAATATTGTAAATCAACCATAGTTAAATATTAAAAAAAAAAAAAAGAAAGGAAAAGAAAATAGGATCCTGGAAAGCCAAGTCTGTGGCCTCATTTACAGGTCAAATCCTATTCTCAGTCACTAAAGATTTGTATTTAAAACATAAAAACAGCATAGGCAATCCTTTCTCAAAAAGAGTTTGAACTATATTAAGAAAAATCCAGAATAAAAACATGCAAAATAAAAGCCTTTACCAAAATGAGAAAAAAAAAGATTAAAAAGATGAGCTTTAAATCAGGAAGTAATGGTAGATGGTGGAAAGTGCTGATAAAGTGTTTCTAAAGTGTCACTCTACGAAGTGAGAGAGCGGCATGGACATATATACACTACCAAATGTAAAATAGATAGCCAGTGGGAAGCAGCCGCATAGCACAGGGAGATCAGCTCGGTGCTTTGGGACCACCTAGAGGGGTGGGATAGGGAGGGTGGGAGGGAGGGAGACGTAAGAGGGAAGAGATATGGGGACATATGTATATGTATAACTGATTCACTTTGTTATAAAGCAGAAACTAACACACCATTATAAAGCAATTATACTACAATAAAGAAAGATGTTAAAAAAATAAATAATAAAGTGTCACTCTAATGGTAGTCCTCGTCTCACTTCCTTCTTTAAGGAAGGAAGTTCCATTCTTCCAACTTCAATTCTTGAAGTTCCATGTTGCTTCATTTTTTGTTGTTGTTCTGTTTTGCTTTTTGATTTCTAATGACTGCAGAGTAAACCCACTAACATAGCACAAAGTATGCTGTCGAAACAAACCAAGGAAGAATGGAGGCTTGCTTCCAGATGAAGAAAAGTCAGAGCATCTATAGAAGTGGACAGAGTTAACTGCTCTCACTTTGTCACATAAATGCGTGCACACACACATACGAGAATTATCTTCATCTGAGAATTTTGTACAGTTTGCAGGGACACCAAACATTATTACACTGGTTTGCTTGAGATTTAAACCATGCCAAAAATGCCTTAAAAAAATCTCAGTTTTATGATGAGCACAATTAGATATTCTAAAGCAACCACAGAAGGGTTAGAAGACATCACCAGACCCACTGAAGACACAAGAACACCTAGCAAGCACTAGAGAAGTCACAGCTGAGATATAGATGCTTGGCCATTTGCCACTATAATTAGCACCACCAGGACAGCTGGGGTCTCACTCTGGTGATGTGGCTTGAAATAAAAATGTCTTTGGGACTTAGGGACAGAGTCTCTTCCTGGTAGCTCCTAGTCAATGGAAATCCCCTTCAAGATTAACTGATTTGGGTGACATTAATATCTTCTACTAGAGCTCTAATACTAAAATAAACACAGGCCTTGGAAAGACTTGGTGGGAGAATCTTTTCTGGATCAGATATAACCCTTAAGTCCACCCTGTGTCCCCAATTCCAAATCCTGGGGGCAACCCTGACTAAGTTACTAAAGCTGTATCTCTCAAAATTCTCAGAGAAAATTCTCTTTGGTTCTTAGGTAACCAAAACCTCATGCCAAGTGGAACACAGTATGATGTTATTTCTTAATCGAATCCACTGCCTTTAAATGCTGGAAGTGAGAGTCAGTCACAGTCTTACCTCTCCAGGGATGTTTTCATTCCAGGCAAGCTTTGTCTGTATCCTACACAGAACAAGATGAAATCTAATCTTTGTATGATATGACAGGAAAGGAAAGGGAAAGAGAGGGCCTATGGGACTGGGAGAGGCCCAGAGGATGCAAATAGCCCTAGAGAACTCATAAACCCTTTTCCTAGAATCACCTTTCTGGGGGAGCTCCTTCTGTTAATAGTTGACATGACCAATCTCAATCAGAGGATCCAACTGGCTTAAAATAAGCTTCAGTGATTGTAGTAGACCCAACTAAGGGAGAAAAATCATGCTGAATGCAACAGAGAGAATTAACAACCCTATGAAAAAAATTTCAAAACCAAAAATCAACCTCTCTCTCCTCCCAAAATCCCTAGGCTAGCATTTCCAAACAGTTTTCGCAATGTTTGGAAAATGCAGTATTAAACAAAGCTTTACTTTACTTCAGAACTTTTTGGCATCTTTAAAGTGGTAAGGTGCATTGTGAACCTCCAAGAGGAAGTATTCAGCATAATCTAAAGGAGGCCCTTTGCCCCACAGAGCATTGAAAGAATGGACTTGCAGAACACTTGCAGAGTTTAGAAAACTCTGACCTTTGCATAAAAATACTCGTTACACTTTAGGGAGCAGAGAGAACAATGAGTGTCAGGTATCTGGGACAGAGTTCTTCCTCTTGTCACTAATTTACCACTTACACAGGATAAGCTACATTTAACTTCTATGAGTCTCAGTTTTTGTAAACCTAAACTGAAATGTATGGGTTGCAACATCTATAAATTACGTCAAAACAGGGTTCCTAAAATCCGCTGAAGCTGTAATACTTATTGATTTGGAAAATGAGGATGGGGAGGGGGGTTACTTCTATATTAAATGTTAGTGTACAGAGAAAAAAAAAAGGCAATTGGACTTTGGAATTTAAACATGCTTTCCACTTAGTCCGATTTTTACGGATAATTATAGAAGAACAGGAATGTGGGGCATATGTGAATATGAAAAACAATTATAATTAAAAAGAAATGCAAAACTATAGTAATATTTCACTTCTGTCAAATCTAAGGTGACCACATCATTCAAATCATATCATTCAAATCAGGATGCTTGAGAGTGAAAAGGGGTACAGCCGAGGCCTAATGAGGCAAAGTGAGATGAATGATTACTTCTATAGCCAAATCTCACATTTTCAGAGCAGCTAGAAATACAGCTTAAAAAGAAAAAAAGAAAAAAAACTAAGTTAAAAGAATATAACTTCGTATGCCCATTCTCATTACCCAAACATGTTTTACTTAACATAACAACTAACATTTATTGAGGGTTTACTATATGCCAGACTCTGTTCTTAGAGCCTTTATATGTATTAAACCCATTTAATTCTCCAAATACTGCTCCCCACTTTTTTAAACTGATGAGTCTGAGAGGTTAGTAACTTGCCTCAAGTCACAGATATTGTAACCTTCAGTTCTATCCTTGGACACCTAATAAGAACAACAAAACAAAAAGAGACTGTGAACAGTAAATCAGAAGCAGTCAGCAAGAGACCTCTGCCTTTTGAAGGCATCTTCAAATAGATGAGATCAGAGTGAGAGTTTAGAAAGCCACCAACTAGGCTCATATGTCTCTCTAGGGCCACCTAACACAGAGGCAGATGACCTCCACCCAGTACCACAAACCCTATTCATTCCAGTGACACAGAACAAGAATGTTTATGATAGCAGCAACTCATTGAGGTGAAATTACGTTCCATTAAACATACTTATTAAGGCAGAGAAGTCAGACTCATGGAGCTAAAAGGGACTTCAATTTTATTTTGGTCAACCTCATTTTTGAAAGTGAATTAATTATAAACCCACAGAATGGGAGAAAATATTTGCAAATCATATATCTGATAAGGGATTGATATCCAGAATATAAATTTCCTACACCTCAACAACAACAACAAAATCTGATTAGAAAATGGGAAAAGGACTTGAATAGACATTTTTCCAAAGAAGATATATGAATAGCCAAATAAGCACACGAAAAGACAACATCACTAATCGTTAGGGAAATGCAAATCAAAACCGCAATGAGATACCACCTCAAACCTATTAGGATGGCTATTATCAATGAAACAGAAAGTAACAAATGTTGGGCAAGGATGTGGAGAGCTGGAAACTTCATGCACTGTTGTGCACTGTGGAAATGGCTACTGTGGCAAACAGCACAGAAGTTCCTCAAAATATTAAAAATAGATTTACCATATGATCCAGCAATTTAACTTCTGGCTATATACCCAAAAGAACTAAAAGCAGGGTCTCAAAGACATATTTGTACACCCATGTTCATAGTAGCATTATTCACAGTAGCTAAAACGTGGCAGCAACCCAAGTGTCCATCAACTGATGAAAAGCAAAATGTGGTATGTACATACAATGGAATATTACTCAGGCTTAAAAAGGAAGGAAATTCTGATACATGCTACAACATGGATGAACTTTAAAGACATTATGCTGTGAAACGTCAGTTTCAAAAAGACAAATACTGTATGATTCCACTTACATGAGGCAATTAGAGTAGTTAAAATCATAGAGACAGAAAACAGAATGGTAGTGCCCATGGGCTGGAGGTGGGAGCAAGGGAATGGGGAGTTAGTGTTTAATGGGTAGAGAGTTTCAGTTTTGAAAGATGAAGAGTTCTGGAGATGGGTGGTGGTGACAGATGCACAACAGTATGTAATACCATTGAATTGTACACTTACAAATGGTTAATTAAGATGGTCAATTTTGTGTTATATTTTACCACAATTTAAAGTTTGAAAAAATTTACAAACATTGCCATCAAAAAACTATTGTCATCAGAAAATATACATTTGTGAAGCTTTATGGCTAAGGTTAAAAATTCACTTATCTAAGGAAATCTCTTCCAAGTAAAGTAAAATAGAATAGTTATTACTATGTTTCTCTTCAAGCATCACAGAGCTCATTTGAAAAAATATTTAGACAGGCAAAATCCTTCCATTTCAGGAATGTTTCATTTTATCACCCATTAATAATATATATATAAATATTTCAACATCAAATGAAATAAACAGCATTTTATAAAATTATAACATTTGCCAGAAATAATGTAGTACATTTTAATTTTTACATTTAGAAAAAATGTTATTTGCTCTTTCATATTTACATATTTCTGATTTTAAACTGTAGCATGAAAAATTTCAAAAATATACATAAGGGAATAGTATACGAGCCCTTAAGCCTCTATCACCCACCGTGATTCCAGAATTATCAAAGTTGTATGTATGTATGTATGTATGCATGTATCTATCTATCTATTTATTTTGGCTGTGCCGGATCTTCGTTGTGGCACGCGGGATCTATCTCCCCGACCAGGGATGGAACGCGGGGGGTGCGGAGTCTTACCCACTGGACCACCAGGGAAGTCCCCAAAGTTCGAAAATCATTAACAGAATATACAAATCAATTTCCCTAACATTTTTTCCATCTTTATTTTTCTCTTTTCTTTCCAATGAGATATCTTAAACCAATCCATTTCCTCATATGCGTACTGGGTACTGGTTGAGATAGATCTTCATTTAACTTCTGAGTTGTCTCCTTTAAAAGCTCACACCTTGGGACCTGCTATTCCCTTCATCAGTAACACTTTTCCACAAAGTCTTCACACGGTTCACTCTCTCACTTTATTCAGGCCTTTGCTCAAATGCCATCTCCTCAAAGACGCCTTCCCTAATCATCCTCTAAAAACAACATCCTGTCCCATCCCATCATTCTCTATCCCCTTTCTTCACTTTATTTTTCTTTGTAGCACTTTTCAGCACTTGAAATTATTGAATATGTACTTGTTTGCTTGTTAACTGTCTCATGCTACAATGTAAGCTCCACTTACACTGAGCCAGAACTTTATTTATTTGACACTAAATCCTCAGCACATAGAACAGTGCCTGGCATATACGAAGTATTGAGCTGAAAACAGCTGAATGAAATCAATTTTTAAAAAATAACCGTTTAATAAGGAAATACTTGTTTGTAAACATTCTTTGAGCTCTTCAGTCCAAAAATTGTTTCTTAGGATCCATATTCCACATATACAGCCTAAGCCTCTTACAAGAGTGTGATTTAATTAAAACTGCACTAGTTCTTGGGAGTAAAAAAACATTTCTTAGGGAAAAAAAAAGTATAGATCACAGTGTGCATACAGCCTCAAATATGACTCTTTTGAGATATTTCAAAATATATAAACAGTACTGTTTAAAAAAAAAGCACCATGATCCATCCAAAAATTAAATTTAAAAATAAAAATTAAATGTAGAATTACCATATGATCCAGCAATTCCACCTCTGGCTATATAACACACCCCCCAACTAAGAAAACAGGGGCTCAAACAGGGCGGTACAGCCAAAAGGTGGAAGCAAACTAAATGTCCATCGACAGACAAACGGATGAACAAAGTGTGGTATATATGTACAGTGGGATATCATTCAGCCTTAAAAATGAAGGAAATTCTAATACATGCTACAACATGGATAAACCTTGAGGATATTATGTTAAGTGAAATGAGCCAGGCACAGAAGGACTAATGTTATATGACGCTACTTATATGAGGCATCTACAGTAGTTAAAATCACAGGGACAGAAAGAATAATGGAGGTTGCCAGGGACTGGGCAGTTAGTGTTTGATGGTACAGAGTTTCCATTGGAGAAAATGAAAAGTTCTGGAGGTGGATGGTGGTGATGGTTGCACAACAATGTGAATGTACACTTAAAACTGGTTAAAATGTTAAATTTAATGTTATATGTATCTTTAATCATAATTTTTAAAAAGTAAATGGAAAAAAAGGCCCCACTAAAAAAGCAATGACATGTGCTCCCCTTTTTTACATTCTTTTAATGACTGTAGCAGGAGTATCTTCTAACAGGGATATATAGTTCACAAAATGCTTTTCTACACATTAAGTCATTTTATCCTCATATTAAGTCTTCAATGTAGATAGGACAGGCTTCATTCTCTAATCTCTGAATTAGGTAATTAAGGTAAAAAGATGAAGTGACTTATCCAAAGTAAAATATTAATATACAGTAAAATGGCAAAGACAAAACTAGACACCAGTCATTCTGATCCCTAATTCAGTGTTTTTCCCCCTAAAGAAGGAAGTACCTTAAAAGTCCTCAGTTCTGGGCTTCCCTGGTGGCGCAGTGGTTGAGAGTCCGCCTGCCGATGCAGGGGACATGGGTTCGTGTCCTGGTCCGGGCGGATCCCGCACGTCGCGGAACGGCTGGGCCCGTGGGCCATGGCCGCTGAGCCTGAGCGTCCGGAGCCTGTGCTCCGCAGCGGGAGAGGCCACGGCAGTGAGAGGCCCGCGTACCGCAAAAAAACAAAAAACCAAAAAAAACAAGGGGCTTCCCTGGTGGCACAGTGGTTGAGAGTCCGCCTGCCGATGCAGGGGACATGGGTTCGCGCCCCGATCCGGGAAGATCCCACATACCGCGGAGTGGCTGGGCCCGTGAGCCATGGCCAATGAGCCTGCGCGTCCGGAGCCTGTGCTCCGCAACGGGAGAGACCACGACAGTGAGAGGCCCGCGCACCACAAAACAAACAAACAAAAAGTTCTCAGTTCTATACCAACCTTTCTGATGGGAACAGCCATGTCTTCCTTATGCGTCTATATGTCTAACTACACTGTTGTTTTTGTCACAAGTCTTTTTTTTAAATAAATAACTTTATTTTATTTATTTACTTTTGGCTGCGTTGGGTCCTCATTGTTGGTGAACAATAAAAAGTTTCTGGATTGTGGATTATACTCCATAAATATCAAATCCCTCAGCATTCAAACACCAAAGGCAAATATGACTATGCTTCTCTATTTTCACTCCTTCCTATCTATCACTTATTTTTTCCTCCTGTGCAGGAGATACTTTTGCAGCTTCTGTAATAAAGGAGAGAAAAATATAACAAAAGTAGAGAGAATAGTAAGACAAAGCTCAACAATTACCAAGTTTCAGTAGTTACCAATTTGTGGCAGTCCTGTATCACTACATCCCAACCCACTCTCTACCCAATCTCTCTGGATTATTTTGAAGCAAATCCCAGATAGCATATTATTTCATCTGTAAATACTTCCTTATGAATCTCTAAAAAAAAGGATAGAAAAGAGCAACTACAGTACCATTATCACATCTAAAATTATGAACAATTCCTTAATATGAACTTCCCAGGCAGTGCTGTCATTTCCACCAGTTTTATTCTTTCTTAGTTTGTTTGAATCAGGATCCAGATAAGGCCCATGCATTGTGACTGGACGACTATGTCTCTTAAATCTCCTTTAAAAGGTCCCTCCCCAACCCTTTCCCCCTTGCAATTTTTTTTCCTTGTTGTTGTTGAAGAAATCAGGTTATATGGTAGTTTCCCATAGTCTGAATTTTGGCAAATGCATCACCATGATGTAGCTTAATATGTTTCTCTCAGCCCTGTATTTACAGAAATTTATAGATCTAACAACTTAATCAGATTTAGTGTCATTTTTGTACTTTTAAAGTTTATTTTGTCAAGACTGCTTCACATGTGGCGATGTGTACTTCCAACAATAGGTACCAAACGTCTACTTCTCATTCTCTAATATTAACAATTAACAGTAATCACCAACTAGAGTCATTAATTCATTAGGGGCTGCAACATGGTGATATTCTATCACTCCTTCTTTATTCATTAGCTGGAATACTTCTGTAAGAGGAACTCATCAACTATTCAGTTGTTTGCACAGAAAGGTAAGAATAAATGATTCTTTACCTTTATTTACTAATTTTCAGAACAATTAGCATCCTAGCATTCTCTAAAGATGATCAGCAAGTTAAAAAATTATGTGTTCATGGATTTAAACATATTTGATGGCTTTCAATTATTTGTATTTATCCCAGCTGAGGCTCAAACTGTCCCATATTTGGACAGTGGAAGCTTATTCAAATTGGTCCCTGAGATCATACGACACAACACTACTTGTCTCTGAGAGCGTCTTTGCTTTCTAGGGTTATACCTTATTCTAGGCATATCTTGTATTTTTCTTACCTTAGACCTGTCATCAGCCATCTCTTTAAAGGAGACTTAATTCCTTTCAGTGAAAAATGGTATTTGGAAACCACAGTCTGGGTGCTAGGGGGTGCTGGCCGCCTTTTTAGTACAAGAGTTAGGGAATTTTCTACACACGTATATTTAGATACACATACATCCTGAGTGTACACTGATGCTTCCAATTCAAATTCAGGTTTAGAGGGTTTTTACTTAATCTCATTAACTTTACACGTGTTTCTCCTTCCTCACATGTCAAAACCCTGTTCTCAGCACTGCCTACATAATTGTTCATTTATTTTATCCCACAACACACACAATAGCCAAGAATTAAAATGTCAACACTATCATCAACACTACGATAAATGAACATCTTTTTTTTCTGGCAATTCTTTTTTACCCTTAGGATATACCCAACTCAGGATATCCTATAAATTACTGTGTATGTGAGTCACTTGGAATAGTTTGCTCTGGGTGATTACATCACTAACTGGAAGTACACTTTTATTTCACTTTTGATTTTTAGGCACAGCATTTTTAATTAACTTTTGCTACATAATTCTGTAAAATGTTTAGATGAGTCTAAAGTCAAAACCACAAAATAAGATATATTCAAAGACTAGTTGCTCCCCGTCTACTCCAACCTAGTCTCTCCCTACCCCACAAGTAACTTTACTAATATTTTTATACAATACCCAAATTCCCTATTTTCTGGCTACTATCCACTGGCTCCCTACTATGAGCAATACTGAAATCAGCTAGTATCTTCTTGCTCCTCTCTCTCTCCTCCAGTATCTAATTTTAAGTAATATGTTTTAATTTACAGTTGATATCTATAATCCGTAAGCTTATTCTACTTTTCATATATTCCTCCTGCATATCTGGTAATTAAACTCTACAGAATTAAACGATAAAGTGTTACATACTACACTGTTTCTCAATCTTAGTTCTACCAATAAAATTTTTTTTTTTTTTTTTTGCGGTATGCAGGCCTCTCACTGTTGTGGCCTCTCCCGTTGCGGAGCACAGGCTCCACACACGCAGGCTCAGTGGCCATGGCTCACGGGCCCAGCCGCTCCGCGGCATGTGGGAACTTCCCAGACCAGGGCACGAACCCGTGTCTCCTGCATCAGCAGGCGGACTCTAAACCACTGCGCCACCAGGGAAGCCCTACCAATAAAAATTTTATTTTAATGTTCATCACCAATTTAAAACACCAGTTTAAGAGTCCACAATTCCTTACCAGCGAGAAACTTTGGGGGCTAGATACATTCTAAAATTCAGACTCTTTTCCTTCTCTCTCTCTCTCTCTCTCTCATGCTCTCTCTCTTTTAAAAGAAAGTCATATGGTATATGAAACATTTGCTGTATACTATGTAAACACACCCAGTGAGATTAGTCATATTACCCCATATTTTGCAATAAAATATATTAAACATTTAAACTAAGCTGTGTTAGTTCAGGTTAGGTTTTGTTGCCAAATGAATTCAGGTCACATCATTGTTTGCCATCAAATGAGTCTCCCTAAAGAAATGGTTATCAGAACTCTTAGAATTTCAAATTATAAATAAGATATTGTACACCTGTAGTTAGTAGCTCAAGATCATGTATAAAAATAGTATTTTCCTTACCTACCCACCACCAATAAAAGGCAAGTCAGAAAACATTTTGTTCATATTAAATAAAGATGTATTTTAAATTGCATTTTTCTATAAAACTAAGTTGTGTTACTGCAAATAGAGATTACTTGTTAGAGTTCTGCTTAGGAGAATCTTATTAAAGCCCACGTGGGCTTCTTCTAATAGAACCTATTATAATTCAAAACAGCTGTCAGTCTCCTGCTGCTACTTTTTTTTTCCGATTAAAAACATATTCTTAAAAGTACATCCCATTCCACGAGTTTATGCAATATTCTTTTAAGGGTAACCATTAAAATTTTTTAAGCTAGAAAATGAGGGGAAAAATGCAGATAAATGAGGTGAGCCTGGTTCTTAGAACTCTAGCTACAGTGCAGATTCATATTGATACTATATATTCTTGGTATTAATATTTCTAGTTATAAAATACTTCCTAAATGCCTGCTTCATAAATGCACATTCAGCATGGTCAGAAATATGTTATCTCTTAGCTTTTTAAAAGATTTTTAAAAGATAATCTTCAAGGAGTCATGAACAGCCTAGAATAATCACTAGGGAAAACTAGTGATGATCATTCTAAATAGGATAAGAAAACCAAAACCAGTGAAAGAATCATTAAAATTAGATACTAAATTCTTTGAAATAATTTTAAATGTAGAAATTTTCTCATTTATGAAAATTAAACGTACATTTAATGTTAAACTTGAAAACTATTATGCATTCAGATGTGTATTAAATGTAAAATTAATACCAATATTTAAGTAGGTTATCCTAGAAATGGCTTTTAGTGTAAATAGGCATTAAAAACAAAAAGTTAAAAGTAAACCACTTTACAGATGTTTCACTGCTAGACATCAAGCAGGTGAATTAGTTTAAATTTAAGAACAATATTTTAGGGGGTTGTTTCCAAATCTGATGATTAGCTACAGGACTCCGTATTATTAACCTAATTATTTTTCTCCATACCCACACATTTCCTTTGCATAAAGAAGAGATCATTAGTTTTGTTGAATTTTAAATCCCTAAATAATTATTCAACGTTTATGTTTAATTATTAAATTTCTGATGAAAAGTCATTGTGCTCCTAAGAACATTTTCAGATGGGGCATCTAATTTGAATAGAAAACTAATCATACTATTTGGTGACAGTACAAAAGCACCACCATCAAGCAGTGTACATCCCCTCCCCCCTCTTAGTTTTACTGTTTTACAAGATTAAAATGAGTTTATTTTCTTTACTGAAAATATGGAAAAAAATAATTTTTAGCATCTCTGTAATTTTCAGTTGTATTTCTTTCTCTCCCCGGAAGTGTTTTTGCCTTCTATTACTAGAGTCTGAAAAGTTGAGAGTTACACTGTTGACTCAAAAGAATTTTAAAGATTGTAGAACAGATCATAATATACAAAGAACAAGATACATGTTAAACTTTCTCTATCCTACCCACCCCAGAACCTTAATGTTTCCCCATTCACTTATGAGAATTATACTTTTGTTGTTTAAATTGAAAACAAAAAAACAAAAAACCTACACAGGAGAGTATGACAAAAGGCAATTCCCTAAAATCTGCCTCCCTTCCCACATCAACAACAAGTAACAATTTGATTTCTGCTTTTCTAGCATTTTTTTTTTTTTTTTTTTTTTTTTTTGCAGTACTCGGGCCTCTCACTGTTGTGGCCTCTCCCGCTGCGGCGCACAGGCTCCGGATGCACAGGCTCAGCGGCCATGGCTCACGGGCCCAGCTGCTCTGCGGCATGTGGGATCTTCCCGGACCGGGGCACGAACCCGCGTCCCCTGCATCTGCAGGCGGACTCTCAACCACTGTGCCACCAGGGAAGCCCTTCTAGCATTTTTGACATAAATAGTTTTAAGTAGGGATATTTAACAATGAGTTCTGTAAAAAAATTTTTTCATTTCATAATATACCAGGGATATAGAAACACGTGTACATATAAATTTTACTTTGTCTTTTAAAGACCCCTAAATAGAACTGTACTGTATAAATATGCCATAATTTATTTCACCAAAACACTGAAAATCATTTCCAATTTTTCAATATTATAAAACAGTCCTGCAATCCTTTTACCTCTATCTTTAACCGCTGTAAACTATACCATTAGAATAAATATCAAGAAATAATATTACTGGGACTTCCCTGGCGGTCCAGTGGTTAAGACTCTGTGCTTCCAACCCAGGGGGCACGAGTTTGATCCCTGTTCGGGGAACTAAGATCCCACATGCCGCTAGGTGCGGCCAAAAAAAAAAAAAAGAAATAGTATTATTGGATAAATGGGTATATATATTTCTAATTTGGAGATATACTGGTCAGAAAAGTTGCAATTTACATTCCTATCAGCTTTGCATGAGAACATGAAAACTCTGGTCATTATTAATCTTTGCCAATCTGATGGAGGAAAAAATGATCTCATTATTTTAATCTTCATTTTAAAAAATTATAAGTGAAAGTGAATCTCAATATATTTATCAGCCTCTGTGTTTCTTTATAATCTTTGCCCATTCTTCTATGTGGCTGTTCTTTTTATTAATTTGTGACACTTTTTATATTAATGTTAAAATATCAAGGGAGAATATTCATATTAGCCTTTTAAAACTATGATGGCTTTTGTCATAAATGTTTAAATTTTTTAAATAGTCACTTGTTTCAGTCTTTTCTTTAGTAACGTCTGAGTTTCATGCTCCTTCCTGTAAACATTTTTACATCAGAAAACAGATTTATATATACCTATGTAAGTAGTTAGAACAAAATAGAAAAAAGTTCTCAATTTTTGTTGTCATCTCCAAATTAGAGTATGTAGGTAAACACACTCTTCAACCACAGCAGAAAGCTGTCATTAGACAGTTAAAGAGTTTACAGCACAGTTATTGTTAAGTAATTCAGTATGCTAATTTAAACAAATTTATTAATTCCTAAATATGAAGATAATTTAATTATCTGGTGTTGCCTGGAAACAAGATGGATATATTTTCCAGATTAACAGGAGGATGCTTTCCGGAAGAAGAAACTCAATTACTCCAATCTATTCAAATGTCGTTTGCTGAAGACATCCTGGGCATCCAGTGTCAGAACTGCAGGTGTCTTTCCCTCATCCTTCTCCTCTATATCAAACTGGTTCACCAATCCACCTGCAAATCACTTAGACTAAGTCACTATTTATTACTTCTCTTGAATTGTCACAAAAATCAATCTTGGTCTCTGCTTCCAGTCTAATTCATCTAGCACACCAACACTAAATTAATCTTCCTAACAGAGGTTCAATCAAGAATATGCAATAAATACGAACTCCTAGCTACAAATCCTACCTGTGTAAAGTATTTTACACTTTAAAGTATATCAGTATTTCCCAAAGTGTATTCTACACAACATCAGTCTTGCAAAATACAATGAAATGAGCCTTAAAAAAAAATCTTGGTTAGTTTGGGAAACACTGTTTACTATAGCCCAGTTTTGTAGAATTATTTATATTATTCATTAAGAATCTGAATACCAATTATGTGCTCTATGCCAAGTGTTGAAGGTTATAGTTGTGAACAAAATAGTCTTGGTTTTCATGTTGCTTACAATCAAGTGAGAGAAATGGACATTTAAACAGATAATTACAAAAATAAAATCATACACTCAGATAAATACCATGAAAGGCATGGGGTGCTATGAGAAAGAATAAGTTGATTTATTGACATTAATAAGCCCACAAGACATAAAGAACACATACAGCATACAGAAGAAAGATCTTAAACACATACATAAATATAAATAATACATAAACATAAATAATGCTTGAGGGACTTCCCTGGTGGTGCAGTGGATAAGACTCTGCGCTCCCAGTGCAGCAGGCCCGGGTTCGATCCCTGGTCAGGGAACTAGATCCCACATGCATGCCACAACTAAGGAGCCCGTGAGCCGCAACTAGGGAGCCTGCCTACCGCAACCAACACCCAGTGCAACCAAATAATAAATAAATAAATAAAGCTTGATATTATTTATTGACAGAGGTAGTAGTGATGTGATGCTGGGGAGTTACAGCAGAGTCAATAGTTTAGCAAATTCTAGGAAGAGCAAGAAGGCCAAGGTGGCTGACGCAGGGGAAGTAGGGAAGGGAGATAATGTAAGATGAGGCAAGACAGGTAGACAGAGGCCAGGTCACACACATCACTGCAAAAGGCTGAGAGTCCTGCAGCTAAGTAACCTGTATAACTTTGCTTAATTCAGTATTCCTGAACTTTAATCTAAGAAAAACCAGTAACAGGCCATGTCCAATGTTCCACAGAACATACTTTCAATCATATGATAGTAGTGGATGTATAAAGTG